AAACAGAAAGCGTAAAAAAATTTGATACATATTGAAAATAATAACATAAAGAAATACTTAAATGCAAAGCAGTAAACAAAAAGCTCAATTTCGCTTGGCAAGTTCATTGTCCTCAATTTGTGACGCTGCGTGCGTTGCTGTTGTTGGTGTATACTTCTTTTTACAAATTTTCTGTTTTTGTGTATACTTTGTTGGCTCCTACGCGTACAATATTTGGCTTGGTCGGTTAATTTACATATAAACTGGGTTAATCGAAGTTTGTGCCAGCAATGTGTACAGCGGCGTTAGTTGGCAGCGCATGAAGTTCAAGTCCAAACTAATTTCCAATACATTCACCGATTTACGAGTCAAATGCGTTCTGCGAATGGTCGAAAATTAGTAGGTACATAAATTGCTGAAAGAGAAAATTTCTATGAATGCTGTAATATAAATTGCATTTTATGGTTGTCGTATGCAATTAATATTTGTGCTTCAAATCAAAGTAGAGAAGCTTTCCAAGTAACCATTAAATCGGTTATCTCGCCAATCAGCCATTTAAGGCACGTTCAACGACTAGCTTATATGGCTCTATGTTGTTCTCTGCATCGCCGTTAATTGCTTGGCTGCGACGAAAGCTGCGCCCATTAGAAAGTCCAATGCGTGGTTTTCGGCATTCTCTTTGGAGATTTTCTATTTCATTGTGGATAATTTTTGTGTCGTTTTACCAATTGACCTATTTCTTCTTTGGAATATGAATATTTCGGTAATAACAACTCATATCGTTTTTATTCAAATTATTGAAAAATAGTCTTTACACTCAACCAATGCTTAGCAAATTTACTTTGAGTATTGCGCACTCCTGCTTTCAATCAAAATAATAATACCAGTTAGGTTTCAAGGCAGAATCATTTTCTTTTTACATGGGTAACATACATATTTGGGTATGTATTAGCCCAGAAAAATTAGATGAAATTGGCACGAAGAAAACAAATTTTAGCAGCGATTTTTTTATGCAGTTTACCTCCGTTTGATACGCAGATCATGGATCCAAAGTCTTGTCCCTAAATTTCATATGGCAATATTCCACCATTTTGGATTTTAGTTTTTTCTTTGGTTTTTTGCGATTTGCAAGCTTATTTGGCATTTTCCGTAAAAAATGGTTTAATACAAATTTATAGAGAATTTAATTTCCCACATTTTTATATAAACGGTAAAAAAATTGTTTTTTGTTAATAATTAGGAAAAATGCGTAAAATTTTTATATTGTCACGCTTTTAGCCATTTTTCAACAATTTATGTGGAAAAAACGTAACATCAAATGCCAAAGTTGTAGGGATGCTCAGATCACGACCGAGAACGTGCCAAACATAGCGATGTAAGGGAAGCGACGTAAATTAGATATTGCTTTACAACTTTTCAGCCGCTGTGGTGTAGTGGTAAGCAGTGCGCGCTTCCACTCCGCAACACCTGGGTTCAAGCCCTGGTCAAAGCAACATCGCAAAAAAATTATAGAAAAAAGGTTTTTTCTTAACAGCGGTCGTCCCTCGACAGGCAATGGCAAACCTGCGAGTGCATTTCTGCCATGAAAAACAGCTTCTCATAAAAATACAATCGCCATTCGGAGTCGGCGTAAAACTGTAGGTCCCTCCGCTTTGTGTGACAACATCAAGGCGCACGCCACAAATCGGAGGAGAAGGTCGGCCAAACACTAACATAATATGTGTAAGCGCCAATCTATTATTATTATATTATTATTATTTACAACTTTTACGGCACCGGAGAACCCAACACTAAAAAAGAAAAATTAACAGCAGGTTGTTATATTTTTGTTGTTGCTGATTACTAGGACCCGGACTTTTATGCACTAAAGATCATAATTATGCGCATATAATGTGCATTAAAAAATTAAAAATATGCACTTAACAAAAGGCAGAATTGGCTGCCATTAAAGAAGCTGTTTGAAAGAATCACGGATGCGACGTCAATAAGAGAGGTAAATATTCATCTACTTTAATAGCCAGGTGCCAAACTGTGCGTTGAAAATCTGGTGTGTAGTGTTTTTAATGGCAGAAATACATTCGGAGGATTTCCAATGACTAGGAAAAACCTGCACCCTAAAGGGCGGTAATACACAGATACCTGTGACCACTCGGCCATGAAGGTTGCCCTAGAGTATACTGTATACTATAAATATCACAAAAACCTTTAACGCTATTTGGAAGAATTATACCTTTGGAAAACATTAAAAATTGTCAGCCCAAAAAATTTTCAGAGCATCTGAAAATGTATAAAATCATCGTACTTAACCCTTGAGTAAACAAGATCCTAAGGTATTGTAATAAAAAGAAAGTCATAGCAACTAAAGGGAAACAAAAAGATCGGATTGTCTGCGTTTAGCCCACAGCCAATATATTAGACAAAGAAGTAAGATACCGATGGTTGATAATACCGACACACAAAGAAAAAAGTGGTGTGTACCAGTCAAACGGACCTGAATATCGGATTCGAAATACATGTCGGTAGGTGAGTCTGGTTAAAAGAACACATCACTGTTTTTGTGTGCCAATGTAATGATGGCAGAAAACTTGAAGCTTAGTATGGGAAGTATTAAAATGCAAAAATTTTATGATTTTACGGTAGTGGCTTTTGTAGATTGCAGACAATTTAGCAAGCCAATTGCAAAACTCTAGCCAAGATTATACAAAATTGTATTAACGAATTGACTCTTTTTCACCAGTAAAATTAGCAAACCCATTAAATTAATAAGCCAGATTTTTTATATAAATTGGTAATATTACAAATGGAGTTTTTACTTTCGATTTGTTTAGGAAAACTAATATGTTGATGTAGGAAGCAAGATCAATTAAAATCCATCTTTTTGAATAGGATTAGGGTGATTGAGTCCTTCTGATCCGTAAAAACGAAAACTGTTGTATTCAAGGACTGGCGGAAGGCTTGAAGAAAAGGGCTATAAGAAGTTTTTTTCTCTCCTTTAAAAAACATAGACTAAGCAACTTTTCACTACAAGCTAGAGGCATGTAAAATTTTCTAGCAAAACTTAAAAAATTCACAGCTCCAATAATGCAGAATTATTAAAATTTATCCGCCAAAAAATTCCAATCAAGAAAATTTAAACAATATACATATTTACTATATGTAGATTTGTGAGTAACTGGTGGCACATTGGCTATAACCTGTTCTTCGTTGCGGTTGACAATTCTGTACCACTGGCGCTTAGCTTGCCACACAATAACGACACGATCAAAGTACCAAACCAACAACTGGTCGTATCATATTCTTGTTTAGTTCTGCGGTGAAGAATGGTTGCAGCGCTTGACTTTCTTAAAACTCTTTGGCCTACACCAACGTTCTTCATTCGTCGTTTGACATTCGTCTGGTCAACAGTAGAAGAAAAGGTAGTACCGAGTGGCACAACGCGTTAACACACTTAGTTGGCTTTGAACTGGATTAGAGGGAGTAGTGGATTTTTAGAAAGTAGCACAGCCATTATGGAAATTAAAATTGCGTGTAAGTAAAAGTTAAAAAGTCATTAATCATAAATATGCTTTTGTTTTCTGCAACAAAACAAATGTTTTCCCACAGTACTCTCATGCCTGTGCTACGCACTCGTCGCTGCACTGCCAACACAAAAGACTGATACATTGGACTCTGCTGCAGATGCAGCAGCCAGCGCACCGTCATTGCCGCGCTTCGCTAGCGTTGCGTCGCAGAAGATCGCGTTGAATATGCTGAAATTCAATGCTGATATCGATGCCAATCAAGTTTATTCACCTTTGGGCATTAGCTCCATACTCGGTGTCTTAGCGGAGGGTGCGGCAGGTGAGACATACGATGAGTTCAGCAAGACACTTGGCTTTCCAGCTGAACGTGCCGATTTGCGTACCTCCTTCCAGCGCATACTCTCGCGCTACCAAACCCAAGAATATTCTACCTTGCCTTCGTTCCAAACCTGGTTGTACATCTATCGCAACAACTCTGCGCGCGATGAATTCAAGCAATTGATACGCGAAAATTATTTTGTCACTGTAAAAGACATCAATACCGAAGAGTACAACTGGAATGAACCGAATACTTCGCCGGACGTGGAGAGCAGTTCAGTGTGCAACAGCAAAGATGTGATCGGTTTTGAGACTTTGAAGCGTTTAAGAGCCGATGCTGATTTGGCCACTGCAGCCACAGAGACACAAACACAGACGCAA